CCTTGCTAATAACTAACATCATGATCCAGGAACTTACAGGCCTCTCTAAGATAACCTTAAATCGATTTCACCAACAATGTGACCCTTGCTAATAACTAACATCATGATCCAGGAACTTACAGGCCTCTCTAAGATAACCTTAAATCGATTTCACCAACATCATGACCCTTGCTAATAACTAACATCATGATCCAGGAACTTACAGGCCTCTCTAAGATAACCTTAAATCGAATTTCACCAACAACGTGACCCTTGCTAATAACTAACATCATGATCCAGGAACTTACAGGCCTCTCTAAGATAACCTTCTTTTTGATGATGATGTGATTCTGTGTGGTAAGTAGGTTGACCTTGTTTTTCTGTTGTTTGGCAAGTTGATATCGACACAATATTATCGCCAGTAAGATTAATACTAGTACACTGGTGAGTACAACCACAAACACCACCCACGGAAAAGAGGAAACCTTTACTCCAGTTCTTTCTCCCACTTCATCAGAGGCTGGTTTTAGAAAAAACAATAACATAATTTGTTAATGTTATAACCATATAATTATAATCATAATACTAATAACTTCTCACAGAGAATTTTTAAACACTACTAAATTTATAAAAAAAAAAAACATTTCAGGTATTCTAACTTATTATATGATAGAGGCCAAATAAATAAAATGTGAAAAAATTTAATATGAATAGAAATACTCAACTGTATTTTAGAATAGTTACTTTAACTTAATGATTAAGTTTTAGTCCCTGTCTTCTTGAGTGGAAACAATAACGTCAGTGTAGAGTACTCGTCCAAGAAATAGTACACTTAAATCATTATCAGTAAAGCTGTTTGTCGCTTAAGTTAATGAGTATTTATTCATTGGTCCCTGTCACATCTATACAGTAACGAAAGTTTTTGAAACTTGCAACTAACAGAATATTATTTTCTGTAGAAAATAGTCTGTTTATGTTTTTATTACGAGTTACTGTTGCACATAAATAACACAAGCAACAAGAAGTGACTGTAAATATCAAAGCTTTAATTCAGAATTATTACCTTCTAGGACAGAGAGCCAAACGGTTCTGTTAGAAAATCCTATGGTGTTCCACGCAAGACAAGCATACCAGCCTTCATCTTCCTTAGTCACATTATTGATTATTAGCAGTTGGGGATCTGTGACGTTCTGAGTATTGCTCTGTAAAGTACAGAAGGATCGGGTTCGAGCCTGTCAATAACCTCTAATGATAGTTATGGAAATTAATTAACAAACAAAAAATATATGGATATCAATATAATTTTTTACGTTATATTTTGGTCCAACATTAAACTAACTCAAAACAAAACTAATTTTACCATGTATCTTAACTAAAACTGACTGTCGTTAACTTAGTAACATTAAAACGCTGATCCATCTTGTTCATCCTTGAAACATATGAGTACTTCACATACCAAAACAAGGCAATGAACATTTGATAACCAGTTATATTAATAATTAGTAACCATAATACAAAAAAATATTCAAACCTTGTCGCTTACAACAACAGTTACTCACCGTGTTGAGCCAGCTTCATAGGAAAGCATGCAAGTTAATTAGAACTTACATTAAAGCGTCATTTTATTAATAAGATATCTTTACTTAACTGTCTTTCTATGATAATATAAAACAGTTCTCTGTTACAATGGATTATCAATAGTTAAAACGTTACAATACTCTGGTAAAGACTTAAATCATGATACAAGCTACAATGGATTATCAATAGTTAAAATGTTACAATATTCTGGCAAAGACTTAAATCATGATACAAGCTACAATGGATTATCAATTGTTAAGACGTTACAATACTCTGGTAAAGACTTAAATCATGATACAAGCTACAATGGATTATCAATAGTCAAAACGTTACAATATTCTGGTAAAGACTTAAATCATGATACAAGCTACAATGGATTATCAATAGTCAAAACGTTACAATATTCTGGTAAAGACTTAAATCATGATACAAGCTACAATGGATTATCAATTGTTAAAACGTTACAATACTCTGGTAAAGATATCCATTCACTCATTTCTCAAACCTTAATGTAATAAGATAATCTAAAACAGTCGTTTGGTACCTCTCTTCTCTAGGAATTTAGAAGCCAGTTTGAAAATCAAACTTGTTTGAAATTTTTTGTATGTCAGCCATTTAAACATTACACATTTTTATATAAATAACTTCCATGATATTGTCTTCCATTACACAGTAAAACATTTAACTGACTGATACTAGTTAAGAAGAAAACATTACATATCTAAGTTAAAATAGGGCAGTGCATTATAAGATCTACACAATGGGCTCTTGGGCTGTGCCCACAATGAGTACTGAATCCCAGTTTTTAGTGTTATAAGCCTTCAGACTTACCACTAAGTCACTGGGGTGGGGCTATAAGATAATGAAATGTTTAGTTCAAGTAATATAATTTACTGTTAAACAGTGCACTGTATAATCATTAGATTTCTAAATGAACTGATCACATAATTTATAAATATTAAAAACAAGATCAGTAAAGGTTTTGATTAGCTGTGATAACCATTTAATCAATTTCATGAAAAAAAAAGAGCTGAAAGATTTCAATCTTCTTTTTACTCATTCTTACTTCTTTTCATCATTTAAGTACTTTGAACTATGATTCTAGATATTCTTCAATTAATTAAGAACAGAAACATAAACAAACCTCAACAACACTGACATAAGAGCTTCCATTATGATCTGTATAAGACTCGTTCACCATATAATATTTCAACCAGCGTATGTCCGGGTGAAGATCACTGTAGAAGCGGCATTCAAATCTTGCCTGTTGTCCTACGTACACTGTTTGATTAGAGGGATAGCCATCTCGAATAATAGGTCTCCGTGTTAAACGTTCTGTTTAGAAAAAGGTTTTCTTTTTTATACAAATAATCTTTCAAGGGCATTTCATCATAAATTTTTACTACATGGGCCCTAATTAATACTTTCTCTACTGGATTTCTATTTTAGAAATGACAATTATAAAAAAAAAACATTAGTTTCCAACTTAGAATATTGTAAGTGTCCAGCAATTAGGTAAAACAACAACAAATAAGAAATATGAATTATATGATGATGTAAATACAGCTAAGAAGTCAATACGTAAGAAAATACTGATAATTTATGGACCTGCTTTAATTTTTAAAGAACAAAAGTTGTTACCTTGAACATGAACTTCAAAAGTCCGGTTGATTTTACCTTCGCTGTTCGCCACCAAACAAGTGTAATTTCCTCTGTCATCAAGCCCAACAACATCCATTGTCATGTTCCAGCGTTTATATATAATCTATACATTGAGATAAGATCCACGAATTTAGAAACAAAGAAGTAATTTAACTGGTACTTTCCAAATTATGAACATTTAAGTAATGTTTAAAACTCCTAGTAAAGTAAGCACGGGAAAATAACCTCATAAGTTCTCACTTCTTACATTTGTCACTTAAGCCTGTCAACTAGTCTTAGAAACTCACAAGGGATCTTCTATACTGTTTTCGTCAAATGAAACCAAAGTACTATCGCCTAGGATTTGACCAGATGAATGGCTCACGTCTGTAGGTTCTTCTACCATATTTTATTTATTTATTGTTATAGAAAGTTTAGTATTCTGCAAGCTTAACTGTTTTAGTAAGAGACAAGTAAAGAAAAAAAGTGACATGATTCCATAAGCGTACGCAACACCATCTAACTTAATTTATTATTTGTTCAAAGGGGAAGATTCTATTGCAATTTATATAAATATTAATCAAGAAAATGTAAAGTGTATGAAACGCCACCTGGAGTAATTATTTTCCGAGTTACTTCTGCCAACCACATATTTAGGGCTAACCTTCAATTACTAGCAACTAATGCACAAACTATACGAGTATATCACACATCAACACTACTGTACAAAAAAGTTTCGTTATTCTTCAAACTTCCATCTGTTTTAACAGAATCTAATGATTTGTTGTCTGAGGATTTGTCTATCTTTAACTATCCAAATTCCAAAAATATAAACTACAACGTAAAAATTTATCAGTAAGTGATTATCGTTAGTTGCTTATATAATACGGGTAAAATAAATACATCACACTTATCCACTAAAATAGGTGGCGCATTAACAACAACTAACCTGTTTACCAATAAAACGAACAATTGGTCTAGAGTCTTTCATCCATGTTATATTTGGTTTAGGAAACCCATCTGCGGGACAAGAGAGTGTTACACTTTTTCCAGCAGGGACAACAATAAAATTCTTCAATAGTCCTTTTGGATCAGTGAAAAACGGTGAGCCTTGGGGTAGAACACATGTATAAGATCACAACTTCTCTGACAGACAAAAACATTTCAACACACACTACACAATCTATGTCACTTAATATGTAGTATATATTTTCTGTATTATAACAAATATTGCATAATCTTGTCTTAAAGTGAATATTCCTTTCAAATTTATGATACCGCAAATTCTTTCCAACTAATCTTTAGCGACACAAGTCCTTTCTTGAATAAAACTGGTTTATTCTTTCCGAATACAACTTTACGATACACTTAATTTCAACAGTCGCTCTATAACAAACGCTATAACTCATGTCTCACGTGGCCAACAATATTCTCCGCATACATTCAATTACTCATTACCCCCTCGTCGCTTCGTGGCCGGTCTTATATATACAAGACTACACTATATCTAGAAGGATCACGAGATTTAAGGAAAAGTCGTGAATGTTCGAGAATGACGTGGCGTGATACTAGTCACGTGACCTCGATGTCGTAACAATACTAACAGCACCAATTCTATTAAGAAAGTAGATTGGTAATTAAATGTTCTAGTCGATGTTAGGCCCAGCCAAGAACGAGAGAAAATTGTTCCTCAGATAATTAGCCTCATTTTTACTGATATTACGTGTTGAAAGACAGTAAATCTGTTTGAGTTACAACTTACAACATCTTTATTTGCTATACATAAACATAATATTTAAAATATTTTCACCAGTGTACATATAATTTATAAACCTAAATAAAACAATACGTACTTCTTTCACCGGACTGGAGATTCGATACTGTCGCTCTTTCTCTCACTGATTCACTTGGCGAAACTTCTGTAAAACGTAGTAAAAATAGTTCATTTTTAGTTTGAGTGAAACAACTAATCGTGAAACGGAAACTAAAGGTTACGTACTTTTAAAATTTGGCCACAAGTCTAAACATAATTCACAAATAATATATAAAATGTATGGCCAGTGTCGATCGAAGACCGTGAGAATAAAAGTACATACGTTACGTTAAACGTTAGATTGGAATTTCAAGCAAAGCTACACGAGGGCTTTCTGCGCTAGCCGTCCCTAATTTAGCAGTGAAAGACAAGAAGGAAGGCGACTAGTCATCACCACAAGCTCTTGGGTTACTCTTTTACCAATGAATACTGGGATTGACCGTCATAATATAGCTCCCCCACTGCTGAAAGAGCGAACATGTTTGGTAGGACGGGGATTCAAACCCGCAGACTGCTAGTCCAACACACTAACCACCTGGCCATGCCAAGCCCTTAATGTTAAAGAGAAAGGAAATCCATTAACCCCCCCCCCCCCATCCTTTATAAGAGTGTTGGTGGTGTTGATTAGCTGGGTTCCCTCTATTGTATCACTGCTAAATCAGAGACGGCTAACGCAGATAGCCTTCGAATAGCTTTGCGCGAAACTCAAATCAAACCAAACGTTATCTACAAACTTTTTAAACAATATATTGAGCTCAAGAAAGCGGTTTTTATGGATATTTCTTATAAGATGTAATTAAAAAAGCTGCATAATATGATATGGTTTTTCTTCGTTGAAATGACATTTTTAATTTACTTGCATTAATATTGTTGTTCTTTTAGCTACACGGTGAGTTATACTGCAGGGAATCGAATCCAGGATTTTAAGGTTTGTAAAAATATCACTGACCTACCGATGGATCTTACAAGATGTTCAGCAATAGTAATAACATTTAAAATTGCATATTTAGAAGAAATATTCTTTAAAAAACAAACTGATCTTTTAATGTGAAATGTCCAGTTTAAAAAAGGTTTACATGTTCGTGTTGTGTTATGACGGATAAAATAGCCTATTCGAGAATGTTACTTGTTATCTGGACGAAGAAAAGTGAAATTGGTGTATTTAGGTTTTAAAAAAAGCTTTTGATAAGATGTAGCTCAAAATATTAACTATGTAAATCACGTCTGTAGGGGTTTGGAAAAGATTAGCTAATTTGTTTGTTTCTTCGTTGCTAAGCGCAAAGCTACACAATGGGCTATCTGTGCCCTGCCCACCACGGATATTGAAACCCTAATTTCAGCGTTATAAGTCCAGAGCCATCGGAAGACAGTTAATTGAACTGTAGAGTGGTTATATGGGAGAAAGTAAACTGTAGTTATGGAATCCAGTCAAACTAGACCCTTCCTATTAGTGGTGTGCCTCAGAGGTCAGTTCTTGGGCCTTTGCTTTTTCTTACTTATGCTATTAATAGGGGCATAATTTGCAAATTAATAAAAATTTACAGATGATATTATATTCTTGACTATTTCTAGCTGTATCTAGGATGGAAAAGTATTTATAAAAGTAGTTGAATCATTTGGTAAACGCAACTAGCACTTATGGATTAATTTAATTTGGATCACACGGAATTATAGAATCTCCTCAATAGTGTGATTGAAGAAGACGATTTTGGCATAGTGATTGGTAAGTCACCCAAGACTATGGGGTCAGAATTCTGGACAGTGTTTTTTAATACGGTGATTGGTTTATGAAATGAGTTGTTGTCGGCAGTAGTGGAGGCCCCACACTTTACAGGAGTTTAAAAGGAAAGTTGATTATTTTCTCAACAGGGCATCCATCAAGAACCAAATGGTCCTTTGTTGTACGTATGTTATGGAATAAACCGGGAAACACGTGCAAGGTTTCGTGTGTTGTAAGAAATATATGGTACGAATTTCAAGTTACTTCTGTACCAATGCAACAAAGCCCTGTCTATGAAATCACTCAACTTCTCTGTTATGTCAAGTTTACTGCTATAATTACAAATAGAATTATGAATCTAATTACTTGGAAATTGTTTGTTTGTTTGCAATTAAGCACAAAGCTACACAATGGGCTATATATGCTTTGCCCACCCGGTTTCTAGTGTTGTAAGTCCGCAGACATACTTGGAACTTCTTTAACTCATACTCCGAATTTTTAATTTTCTTCTTTTCTTTTAACCTATCGTTAAGTCGAGGTAAAAACCGCTTCTGTCAGTTACAAAAGCTAAAAACCGGGTTTCGATACCCGTGGTGGGCACAACACGGGTAACTCATTCTGTAGCTTTGTGCTTTAACAAAAACCGTCAAAATTGCACTCGGTACTTTTCGGTCATATGTGTTGTGTTATAAGAGTGACAGTCAGATCCAATTATTCGATAAAAGTAGTTCAAAATTAGGAACGACTAGAGAAGATAGCCCTTGTGAAGCTTTGCGAGTATATCCGAAACTAACAGTTAAAAAAAAAAAAAACTCCTGTCCAAATGCTTCTATTCTTTGACACAAGATGTCAGCATATTTAATGCTAAAATAAAATAAAAACATGAATATTTGTATTAATTATCCATAGTTTTCCGTGAATTTTATTATTACAACCAAATAATAGAGGAGTCCACTGGGTGAATAAATTATTATTTTAATAGTGTGAATATTTGTGGTAATAAATATTACATACTTGCAGATAAAGCGCAAACAAAATTAAGTAATATAAGGCAAATACGTGAAACATAATTTACCTTTTAAAAGTAGTTTATAATCACGATAAAATGTTACAAATTGGAGTTCTGTATTTGATGTACACATACGTAAACCGATTTTTCCCAAAAGTTAATAGTCTTTCCTGTCAATAACTGTTGATCCTGTCAATAACTGTTGACACGTACTTTCCTCGGTTCACAAAAACTCTTTTATCTTTTATTAGAAACTATTTTTTTTTAGCAATTAAAAATTATATTTAAACCAGTATTAGTCTACTAAAAGTCTTGATTTCTCTTTGAATATCAAAATATACTTTTAAAAAACGACAGATATGTAAAAAAAAATATCTTTGGCGTTGTGATCAAACACTTGCCTGCCAAAGAAAGGGTGAAATTTTTCCAGATTTCCCCAAATTCATTAAAGGCTTTACACGAGTAGACTCCGACATCTTCCGGCTGGAAATCCAATATAATGAGACTCTGTCGCCTCATTTCGACATGAGGGGACGCTGTAAGTACTGGTTGGCTGTCGTTATACCATACTAGGTATGGCCGCGGACTGCCTCGGACTGGACATCGCAGTCTAACTTTCTGATCCCGAAAGACTTCAAATTTTGTGGGAAACCTCTTCCGCCATCGTGGGGCTTCTGAGAAACAAATAGGGTTAAGAAACTTGTAGATTGGGTGTTAGTAACCTACACATTACATCTTTCTTTCTAGAGATACGCGACTTTACAGATGGTTATAATAAATTAAGATGTCAAGTCTAAATGATTTGTGACTTTTGGAAAACGGGACTATTCGAAAAGAGTTAATCGAAAAAAAACAGCAACAAAAAATGTCGACTTAATTTCGCATAAACTTTTTAGTCGACTTGGCAGAATTTAACTGAAATTCATTTTTGATACTTCGATTATTTAAGCAAGCTTTAATGGATTTTATTTGTTGATAGATTATTTTATAAGAAACTTTAATGGATTAAGTAATTTTCCCCCCAAGAAGGTGATATGATAAACTTTAAATAGATATCAGAATTATTTTTTTTTGGGGGGGGGGGAGGTCTGAAAATAAGATAGATGAAGGAAAGAAAATCAGAGGGAGTTAAAACTAAGATAGATGTTAGAAACATTTTGAGGGTGAGTCTAAGATAGAAAGTTATTTATTGGGAAAATATAATGTACTTTAACAGGGGGGGGGGGACAGTGTTTTTGTTTGCATTCAACAGCAGCAGAACTTTCTTATTTTTGATATACCTTATTCTAGTAAACGCGACCATTAGTAATTATATCCAACTATTTGGTCAGACAAGAGTAGTTCAATAATTGTCGGAGGGTGTTTATGTACAAGCATCATAAAAAAACTGCCCACAATTTTTCGAGTTTTTATTCTTTTTTTTTCACTGCAGAGTTGGTTTCGGTAACAATAACCAGCACTTGTCATTAGTGAAGGGAATTCCACGTACATCATATAACAGGAAACTCACAGTCTTTCGTATATATAAGCCGTTCGTGGATAAGACTTATAAAGTAAACATTTGCAAGGGCAGTTTATTTACCAATTACGCCCCCCTCGTGTCTGATCTGAGGCACTGCTGACACCAGACGTCAGCACCAGTGACTGTTGTTTACAGATCGTCCTCGTGCAACTGGTGCGTGACGCACCACGAATGCGTAAACCATTACGTGTCTTACTAACATCATGAGTTGACCACTAGTGTAACGCCATCACACACGTATTAATATCTTTATGATTTAAATATATCTTTAAGATATAAAATAGAGTATACCAGTCTAGAATTTAAGGTTGGAGTTGGTGACTTCAAGTATAATGCTAAATACACTGTCCAGTATTGGCTTGAGCGGCGGGTAGCGTGCCCAGACCGTGAATCCAAGGATTCGCGTCAATTACCGCGAAATGGGGTCTTGGGTGTGCTATAAAAGTGAAGGTCAAATCCCACTATTCGGTCAGACAATGGTATCTTAAGATGTGCCGTTAACTAGATGGCTTTCCGCTAGATGGCGCTTATATCGCCTTGCCGAATGCTTTCTTGATAG